CACGATATTAAATTAATTTTTGATAAGGGGAGGATCCATCACAATAGCTTGCTATTGGGGTCTTCACGAGTCGCCCATGCTTTGCACTACTGCAAGGTCCTGGCTCACCCCACTAAATCTAGTTTTATAAATTTCAAAAACCATATGAAGAGGATCTAAGCAGTTGAACTAGCTTCAGATAACAGTTGAGTAGTCTCAGGAAGTGTTCTTACTGCTACTGTGTGTTGTTAGTAGTCTCAGAGTCTTGCACATATGATATGTCAGTTGATGTTTATGCTGCTGGAACTTGGATGATATGTCAGGCCAGGTGACACTGTTGTTTTCAGTCCTTTTGTACTGATAGTTATGATCTGCAGCTGGTTAACATAGTTGAATCCCTATTTGTGTAATAGATACACAATTTGCTTTGTTAAAGATGGAAAAGTTGAAAGCTTTTTTTTGAAGTGCAGAAAATTTGAGCCTCCACTTTCAACCTGAAGTACAAGATCCAGTTTGATCCTTGAAAACCCACGACTTTGGAAAGAGACGTACTAATGTACATATAACATCGATGGTGCCAGTTGAACTTAACACATTCTCTTACCTGTCAGACGTCTGAACTGAAGTTAGAACTAGAACAATATAACCAAATTAATCCCGCATGGTGAACAAACAAGAATGATAACATGACCAGGTGGGTATAAAGAATAAGGCTAGAGCCAAATCTAAAAATACTTACCTGGATGGGGTCTGTGGGCGATCAAGAAGGTCCATGGCCTAGATTGGTGACCTCCATTGCACTTCGGAGGGGTGCCTGCTTAAGATATTTCCAAGTGGGATAGTCTACATCATAATTTGTTGCTTAGGGGGGTACGGCGTTCGCGGGGCCCCTGCTAATGATTAATCTAAAGATTCTTTAGGTGCAGTTTCTGTATTTGAGAATTGTAACTGTTAACTATTAATCCTTTAGGTGGTTGAATTGTAACTGTTAACTATTAATCCTAATTTGCCTTTTGAAGTTGCCTACTGCTCTGCTGCACTTGCTCCAGAAATCATTGAACCTTTATGTGCCTTAGAGATACAATAAGGCCTCCAGATTTGTTTCTTGGTAATATGAGGTCACCATGCTCTCAGAATTGTTTTTCTAAGGGCGTGTTAATCAGAAACGATTGGCATAAACTGCTTTTGTGTTAACACTCGGCTGCTGCGTTTAATTTAACATTTACTGCCATCCGTAAAGAAGGATTCTGCATAGACAACCCTTGGAATTGTTGAGGCCTGCGGCCACTTCACAATTATATCTGATAGTGAAGACCCTTTGCATTGGCATCTATGAACATCTTTTAAGGGCCTATTGTTCTGATAGTACAAAGAAAAATTAGATATTCATCGCAATCCCTTGATAATTCTACTTTTTCTAATGTAATGTCTTTTTGCAGAATACTACCAAAACCAAATGATCAGGCAAAACAAGCAACCAGCTGCTCATGAATAACTTCGTCAGAAGGAAGATATTAAATTGATAATGGTAACAAGAAAGAATGAGTTTGAACGTGAATGAGTTTTATTCTATTCAGTGTTATTCAGCGTGGTCTTTATATAGACAAGATTTACAAGAGACCTACATAATTAAATCACCTAATCTAAGGGATTTGATAACAAGATAAACATCATATGGGATAAGTATGTTAGCTAGCTTGGTGCTTAATCTAAGGGATATATACTAATCTGTACAACTAACTGATGGTGTGAATGATGTGTGATACTCCCCCTCAAGTTGGAGTGTGGATGTCAAGAACACCCAACTTGCGAATCAATCTTAAGAAGTCATCCTTGCCAATGGGCTTAGTGAATATATCAGCAATTTGTAAGGAAGATGGAATATAACGAGTATGCAGCAACTTGTCTTGAATCTTTTCCCGGACGAAATGACAATCTAGTTCAATATGCTTGGTTCTTTCGTGAAACACAGGATTTTGGGCGATATGAAGAGCAGCCTGATTATCACAATACATGGACATTGGAGATGTATGTGATATGCCCAAATCTGCAAGGATATATTTTAACCATTGCAATTCACAAGAAAGATTTGCCATTGAGCGATATTCAGCTTCGGCAGAAGAGCGAGAGACAGATGTTTGTTTCTTTGTCTTCCAAGAGATGGGACTAGAACCCAAAAAAATACAATAACCAGTAGTAGACCGACGAGTAGTGCGACAACCACCCCAATCAGAGTCACAAAAACCGGATATGTGAAGAGAGCTAGAAGATGATAATAATATGCCTTTGTTTATAGAACCTTTGAGATAATGGAGTATGCGATCAGCAGCATCCTTGTGAATAGAACGTGGGGATTGCATGAATTGACTAAGATAATTAACATCATAAGTGATATATGGTCGTGTAACAGTGAGGTATAGAAGACGACCAATAAGACGACGATAAACTGTAGGATCAGGTAGTAATGTACCACTAGGTGTTTGAAGATTGATATGTTGTTCCATATGAAATTCAGAAATCCTACAACCTGTAAGTCTTGAATCTGACAAAATATCCATGATGTATTTTCTTTGAGTAAGAAAAAGTCCTTCCTTAGAGCGCGCAACATCAATACCCAAAAAATATTTCAATCGGCCCAAATCTTTGATAAACAATGCATCCTTTAAAACTTGCTTGAATTTCTAAATAGATTGGAGATGATTTCTTGTGATAAGAATATCATCGACATATACAAGAACATATGCAGAGTTAGCACCATGAATGTGAGTAAATAGAGAATAATCAGACTTGGATTGACTAAACCCTGCATTGATCAATGTTGTAGACAATTTAGCAAACCATTGCCGAGAAGCTTGTTTAAGTCCATACAAGGACTTATTGAGTTTACATACAAGTTGCTCCCCCTGCTTGGAAAAACCGTGTGGAATAGTCATGTAAATAGTTTCTTCTAAATCTTCATGTAGAAAAGCATTGTTGACATCCAATTGATGAATATGTACCAATGGCGCAGAGTAGCAATTGAAAGAAGCTACCGAAGAGTGACTAACTTAGCCACAGGAGCAAAAGTATCATGGTAATCTATTCCTTCAATCTGTTTGTATCCTTTAGCAACTAAACGAGCTTTGTAGCGCTCGATGAAATCATCAGCATGGTATTTGATCTTGAAACCCCGTTTACATCCAATGGGCTTTTGATTTGAAGGTAAGGGAACAAGAGTCCACGTATGATTTTTTTTTAATGCTGCAATTTCAGCTGCCATAGCTTCCTTCCATTGAGGTATTTTGACAGCTTGAGAGAAAGATTTCGGCTCAACCCTGGATGATACTTTAGATAAAAACACTTTATGGGATTTAGAGAAGTTAGTGTTTGAAACATAACAAGCCATAGGATAATGAGTAGAAACTTTAGTTACCTTAGATTCCGATTGAATGAGATTAGCCGAATGAGAGAGAGTAGGACAATGGAAATCATTGAGATGAGCTGGTGGTTTTCGTAATCTAGAAGGTCTAGAATTAGGAATGAGTTGTTCTGATGGTGCGGAATTAGATGACTGCGAAGTCGAAGATGAAGGAGATGATGTAGATATGGGTTGTGGACTTTCACTTGTTGTGATAGTAGGTTGTTGGACATTTGCAGGAGGAGTTGAGGTGGATGTACATGAGCTATCTTGGAATAAATCAACTCAAATTTACACATCTCGCAACTAAAGTAAGTATATCCAAGTGGTTCGACTAAAATCATCAACAATAGTTAAAAAAAATCGAGCATTTGAATGTGATGGTAAAGAAAAAGGACCCCAAATATCACGATGAATCATTTGAAATGGTCGACTAGTCTTGATGGAACTATTAGAAAAACTTAAGCGAGTTTGCTTAGCTTGTGGACAAATAATGCAAAGAGAATTTTCTGAACAAGTAATAAAAGGAAATTGCTTAGTTAACAATTGCAAACGACTAGAAGATGCATGTCCTAAGCGATAATGCCACAAATTATTAGCAGTATAAGGTTGAAAAGAGCAAACGGAAGCGAGTTGCAGATAATAGAGTCCCTCATGGAGGCGTCCCAATCCAATCTTCCTCTTCGATAACCGGTCCTGAAAGATACAATAGTCATCAATGAAAGTGATATACATGACACGAGGCGTGACTAATTTACTGATGGAAATTAGATTGAATAGAAAAGTAGGAACATAAAGAACATTATGGAGACGTAATGTTGGTGAGAGAATGACAGTTCCAACATGAGTGATTAAATGATCTGTGCCATCAGGAGTTCTAAGAGTATAACGTTTAGAACAAACTGTATAAGAAGAAAAATAACGTAAAGACGAACTAACATGATGTGTTGCACCAGAATCAATGATCCATAAAGATTTTGTTGAACATGATTGAGAACTACCTGTCAAATTTTCTTGTGGTGGGAAGCTACCTAAATCAAGCATGCTTAGGATCTTATTATACTGTTCCGTAGAGAACATGTGATGAGTAGTAGATGGTTCTGTGGAAACAACATGAGCTTGAGCACTTGAAGTGGGATAACCATGTAGCTTATAACATGTACTCTAATGGCTTGGTTTGTCACAATGATCACAATGTGGACGTCTGCTGCCACGCCCATTCTGAAAATTATCTTTAGAGTTCTTACCATTGTGATTTGGTGAAAAGGTATGTGGACTTGGTTTCCCCTTAGAATTCCAGTTGTTGTATGGACCCGTATTTGGGCCCAATACCAAATTCCCATATATTTGGGCTTATTATTTAAATCATATATATTTGGGCCCAATGCCCCAAATATATAATATAAGGCCCATTTAAGGCCCGTTCCACCATTTTTCTACAATTAGGATTTTAACACCCCTATATAAAGAGAAATCTCAACACATCAAGAACTACGCCACAAGAAACTTGATCCTTTGTTCATCAAGAACAAAGGTACGTAGGCAACCTTCAAGAAGGTTCAGTTTCATCAATCTTATAACACCAATCTCCTCTATTCAATAATAATTTTCTTTTTCCTATTATTTTACAACAAAAGTCACTACATCATCTTTTGAGGGTGTTCGATCGAAGTTCTACAGGAAAGCTGTCATCTTGTTGAATTTGGTCGAAACATTGTTTGGCGCCAACTGAGGGGACCGAACTTTCCCACGTACTAAACAACATAAAAGAGTGTTTTTTATATCAATTTTTTTTAAGGAGACTATTCGGTGGTGTAATGTTTTTTATCCAATTCATGTTTTTTTTAAGGAGACTATTCGGTGTTTTTTTTTATTATCAACAATTTATTGTCTACTTTTGGCAACAAATCCATTCGTTGGAACAAAGGCTAATACGATTACTTCAGTTGGTGAGATAATAATGATTTGGTTTAGTTTCTTTATATTCAATCATATAAGAAACTTATTCCCAAATATCATATTAATGCCATTGCTGAACTTAATCGAAACGATGAGACAACGACTCCAGACCGTATGGAATCATAAGGAATCAGTTGTTTTTTACGTTAACTGATATAATTGCTCTTGTTCTTATTGATCGTGCACAAGAGAGAATTCGAACTCGATTGTATTTTACCCTTTAAAGTTAATTGGTAGTATTCGTCTTGTTTCTTGAGCTCACTCCTTCATCATCTCTAATTCAGTTTCATTATAGTGTGGAGATTGAGAAAGATTACTGCTTTGATGCATTGATTCATTATTGCTCAAAATTGGATTGAGAGCAATAATGCTCAAATCGGTAGGTTTCACAAAAGTGGAATATGCAATGGGAGCAGAGAAGCATAGTTCTGCTGTAATTTATCAATTTTAACCCGAGGATGGGGAAGTTAAAGATTCAATCCTTGCCAGTTATCAGGCATAATTTCTGCTTCTATTTCAATCATGCTTTTCCCCTTG